TGTGAGGAATAACCACCAATGGGGTAACTGATTATGGCCGACAGGACTGGTTATAACCATAATGAACGGTTGACCTATTTTTTGATAATAAAATACTCTCTTAATGTAATGTATCACTGTGAGAATCAGAATGACGAACTTACCAATTGATGCAATTTGGCTCGGACTTGTCAAATTAAACTGCGAAAACTGTCTAGCGAAAAAAAACCTAACGAATGACACCAAAAATGTTGGATTAAGCACTGGCAAGCACGTATTGGCTCAAATTGAGCTTACTTTAAAGGTAATAATAAAGTCTATTAAGATATTGTTCTTTATGTCAGTCCGAGTCAAATTTGATCAGTCCGACAGAAAAGGACGCATATATTTCTACATTACGTTAGTTGGCTTATGGCTCTTTGAATAGTTTATCACAAGCGTGAGCTTTAAAGACACACACATTTTCTTCCATCCTTCTGATGTCTGATCAAGATAATTCCAACGTACTACGGGTTAAAACTCGAACTCGACTATTCCAAGGGTGTGAAAGTTGTGAGCCTTGATACAGACGAACTTGTCTGCATTTTATTACCTTCCGTGCTTAGCCTGTAGCTTTTTCTATAGGTTGAAGCTGACGTTTTTAAAATTAATTTAAAATAGAATAAAACATTTTTTCTGGGTTGTTTCAATCTGTTTTATGTTCGTTCAAAGTTAGATCTCCATATTAGCGATAGTCAAGCGGCACTAAAGGTGAGCTTACGAGTTCGAATCGCTTTTAGTGGAGAAGTGTTTAGGAAGGCTGGATAGCTTATCAGTTTGCAAACGTCTACACCTGATATGAGTGCCGGGACATAAAGCGGTGGCCGGCAATGAGCTGGCTGACGACCTAGCCAGCTCTGCGTCAGCGTCCAGGACGTTAGGGTCAGAACCATGCATTGCGATGGGGTTCCACTATAAAGGAGGTACTGCACACAGAAAAGAACGGCATTGGCAACAGGCAGCAGGAATGTGCCACGCCAAGCTATTACTGGGAGGGTGCAACCTTGCAAGATTTAAAGAAATGAACAACCTCTCCCGAGACAAACACTCGGGATTGTCGTGCCCGATCGTACAAAGTATTGCAGGCTCATGAAGCACTTGTCGAACATGGGCATAGTCTCTTGCACAAACTGCTGGTTTTGGAGCATGGCACAGGAAATTCATAACACCTGATTTTAGATTGTTTAGCAATTTGTTGAAGCATGTGCAAGGCCCTAGGACCAGGATCCCATCATGGCAGCTGCGCCCCACAAGCTCCTGGAATTGTTCAGAATGCTGGACCTGAGTGACCATAGGTCGCCGAGCAAAGCCTCAATTTTCTACCTATCTATCAATCTAGATCTCCATTTGTCTGTCGATTTTTACCATAGAAACAATTTGAACAATGAGCTTGCTTGGAGTTTTGTGTTTCCATAGCAAGAAATGAAAATGAAGGCCTACCGCTCCAAAAATGTGCTAATAATAATAATAACAATAAAAAAAAAAAAAAAAAAAAAAATTCTGAAAGTGTTGAACGCCATCCCTGCCGAGGCTTATAATAATTTTGATCAGATGATATATGACATATTCCGGAGGGTCTCCTATTTTCCATCACAAGTATGTATGCTTATAAATTTAATTTAAGTGGCTTGGAAGTCTTTTAAAGCTTTCGAAGAAGTGATCCCTCTTATGCCGGTTCTTGTATTTGATCACGGTTCGAAGAGTGGTATAAATTATTATTACAATAATGGGAATGCCGTCTTTTCACCATTTTCAAAGCTCAAATTTAAGTATATGATATGATAATGTTCTGGAAATTCTACAAATAAAAATTTATTATTTTACAAGTGCTTTTGCATATTTATTTTGGGCGGGGAAATGCGAAGTCAACGAAATGTGCGAATATTATCTTCTCTAACACTTGTGGTTTATCATTTACAGATTAAGATCTTCAAGAAAAAGAATGACACACCTACGCTCCTATGTCTTCTCTTCTTCTATTTTCTGTTAACATTAACAATCAAATTTTTGGGTGCTGACTTTCAAGTTTCTTGATATTAAAGATTAAATAAATAATGAGTTATGACGTTCGTGGAGGGAAATGACGCTTTAGCGGACTATTCAAGTACAAAATTTTTCTTGAGTGAATAGCATCTAGAACTTTTTCTTGGACAATCACAGCCTCATCATCGATAGCTCAACTTTTCGATACCATTTCGTATTAGGATTGACAATTCTCTACAAAATAGACCTTAATCTTGATAAGTACTATTTTCAGTCTAAGATAGAAATAAGAGAGATCTTGAAGTTTGAGTTTGTGGCACTCAACAGAGAGTTTGGAAGTAAAAACTGGAGATGAAATTAATTAGTTAGTTCTGAGAAGATTATTTCTTTATGTATCTTCAGTCTACTTCTCACAGAGAAATAAATTGATTTGCATTAGGGCCCACTTGTTGCGAGTTTCGGATTTTCCTCTTCGAAAAGCGTAAGCCAATTTGATTAGGTGGAGTATGTGAGCTAAAGCTACAATATGGCTGATATTCTAAAAATAATTATTAGCGCTTTCTTAAAAACGTATTTATAGGAGCATACTTCAGATTTGATAATATATTTAGATGATATATTTTAATTATTATTTATAGCCAATTCCTAATTAATTATTCGAATATTTCAAGTGCAGTCAATTTGGCAAGAATGATTGATTTATATACAGCCAAATGGCACTGTATGCAAACTGATAATCAGCAGTCCATTGCATGTGTGAAGTGATAAAACTTTATTACCACTCCTATCAGGTCTTGCACGCCCAAAATAATTAAGATATGACAAATCGCTACTTTTGGATTTTAGAGCAGGAAATTGTTTATGTGCTTTGTCAGCAGTAGAGCTGAGCCCTATTTGGAAAAATAGAAATTTTTTAAGTATTTGAATGTCAATTCCCAAGTAGAAAAGGTAAGATATGATTAGACATGATAAGAGGGTAGGGAGATATGGCTCCTCAATAAAAATCTAAAATACTTAGCATAGGTTAGGCCGTAGGGCTGAACCTCGCCCCAAAAGTAACGCAGGATCCCACTTAGACAGCAAGCTTCTCTGGACTTTACATATTCCCACAGAAAAAAGTCAAAAGATATGATATTGCACGATCTTGGTGACAAATCGCCTTCCCAAAGCGCCAACGGTCGTCGTTGTTTTTTCTGAATGAAATGGCAGCTCTTGAATATGTATATGCAGGTTGCTCTTCCTCCCAAATGCGCCAATTTTGCTTGTTTACATAGATATTGAACCAGAAATAAGCATCGATGAGCAAAATTTGCTTCGAAAACGTCGGATCTTCTTGGAAGTTTTCAAGGGTTTAAGAGCGAAGCAATGTGGCTTGGGAAGGTCGATCGTCTTCAGTTCTTACACAAGCTAATCTTTGCACGTTTTCAATTTAAGATCTTTACATTAAATGCGCCAAGTTGTTCCATACGTCAGTCCGAGTTGGCGAACGGCGCCGTATCGACTTTCCGTGGTCTTCGTATACGCTCTCAGGTACGACTGCTATATTTTCTTCAATGCGTGCTGAACGTTGTCTATTCGGACGAATATTATGCAATCATTATGCTGGGTCTCAAGGTTGGTGATGGTGTTGCCAATAGTATGATCAGGTCGTCGATTGTGTTCACCAGAAGTTGAGCGAAGAGCGCGAAACACATTCTTTACAGAACGTGAATTTTCGTAATAAAGTTGAAGAAGCAACCAGAACGGACCCATAATTTTATCCGCCCAAGAACTGTCCAATTGGCACCATTGTTCGAAATTACTTCAGGCATATTTATTGAACTCAACGGATGGACCATCTGAAAAAAAGCCGTGGCCAACATTTGAAAAAGATAATCTTAAAAAAGTTAAAAAAAAGTTACGCAAATAGAAAAGAGCAATGCTGCGCTTTCTTTAATTGATATTTCTGTAGAATGCTGTTATTATTATATTTAATTAAGTCGTATAATATTCCACCACTAGATATGGACAGATTATAATAAGTCAAAAAACATTTTGTCACGCTTTCACAAAAATAATTGCTCGTATTTATTCAATATTAGGAGTGTTCTTATTACTTATAATATTTGTATTTGTATGAAAAATAAAAAAGAGTCTGGGGAAGGAAAAATGTAGGTAGAAGAGATCATGAGATCATACAAAATGCTGAAATACAAGTATGTTGATTTCGGCATGTGTCTCTGCTATATGACATATAGGTTAAATAGTCCTCGGGGTGTCTTTAATCGCATACAATTTAGAAAACTCATATAAACTTTTGGACGTTCAGTGCTTATGCCATTCGATTACGGCGTGATAGGCTTTGTTTATCTTCCTTAAAATCTATGCTTTCAATAATATGTTGTCGAAATCAGTTATTACAATTATTTGGTATTTATGAGAAGGTTCTTAAAGGTTGGTTTGAGGCTTGGATGTTAGTGTGGGATAGGCTTTTATAAGACCTGAAGTTGGAAAATCTTCTCCATTTTTCCCTAAAGCATAAACTCGAGCCACAAAGCGCAACCGCTTTCGAGTACAGATGCGTGCGCTATGATGAATGAACGCCGCTTTCACCTGTGCTTGCGAGAGTTCTTCTAGCATTTTCATTATCTTATCAGCAAACCAACCCATACACAAGAGCGTGTATTTGTATTTAGTACCGAATTGGAGAAATTAGTGAGAGTCATAATTTTCACGTTGATAACACAATAATTTACCTGGAATCTCCTGGTCGATGGCATGAACAATGAATGGAGAGTGGGGACAAGAGAGTAGAAAAATAAACGTGGTTTGATAATAGAAATATGTGCCATGATATGGATGCATATGTAAATAGTAGGATGAAGATGTATTGAGCAAGGTCTACCTGTTCATAGAAGAGTTGATTTATTTGCAAAATTTGTGGTTGAGTCGCCAGCAATTGCCTATCTACGCGAGCTTTTGCTATAAAAACTCACTAGAGCCACTCGGGGAGCAATTGATTTGGAAAGCGTTTAGTCGACAACGGACGCGATTGCCATATAGAAGAGCTAGACCAAATATTGTTATAGAAACCAACAACAAAAAAAAAATCAAGTGCTGAAAGTGTGTTCGAATTCCCAAAAGAAAACAAAAAACAATACAAAGATGATTGACCTATTGAGGAAGTGCTTTATTGTCTTAATCTGCATTACTTGCGCTTTGGCGGTCGATTTGCAGTACTCGGAAATAGTAACGGTTAACAATGAAACGCGTTATATTGTGCTAAATCCAGATGCCCCTTTGACTTTGTTCAATAAAAATCATTACGTCGGCGGACAATATGTTTTCACATCCGGTAAGAGAATTACAGGTGAGTGTCATTGGTAGTTGCGGTTGTTGCTACGAGCCGAAATTTTATGGCAACTGTAAATCAACTAAAATGAACGAAATAGTATACAAGTGTTACAGATTTGAAGTAAAAATTGTGCTACTAGAAGATAATGATATATTTTCGAGTATTTCTCTGACAATGTGATAAGTGGTATAAGTCGACTTGAGTTAATGTGTACATATTGTGTTTTTCTTAAAAAATTTTTGGAGGCAAGACTTTCTGTTTTATCTTAGAGAAATAGTCCCCATATTATGCACTTATGACAGGGTCGTTTAGACGATTTGAAGGAACCCTTCTCAAATCAGGTGGTTGCAGAATGATATGAGCCCAGTTTTTGGTAAAAAAGTCGCAAGAACCAATGCAGTATTACATAGTGTATTATCCTGATGAAGGAAAAAATATTTGTTAGCCCATAAATTTGGAAATTTCAGCAAAATGGTTGACACCGCATAACGTTCAGGTTATATTCTTTAGCGACAGTTTGGCCCGCGGCAGAGTTTTGTGGTGCACCGCGCTATCTAACATTTTTAAATTGATAAATTATGTCTCGAATAATCGGTTAAGAACTTTACGGATACAATAAAAATTGTCGAAAATCATATCGCGTATTTAGTGAATGATAGTTCTAAACTAATAGCACCACTAGACGAGAGTAGGCTTTTATAATTAATCGCTCTACATAAATTTGCTTTCCGAAAAACTATGATTTTTGTATTCCTACTCTTCATAGGCGATCGCTTGATACTCAACTTCCAGGACTCAACGCAATTCACTAAAGGTGAAGATGTTGAAGCTCTACTACGTTATCCAGCCAAGGGTACCGATACAAATATCATAACTCAGGTAGAGATCTATGCAGCAGTTTCCTCGGAAGATGCCGACTCTTTCTTCGTCGATGGCGGTATAAACAAATCCTTTTGTGAGATACTTATCGCCGGCAATAAGACAAGTTATGTCGAGTTTGAGATGTTCATTTATGGTTATTAGCTGTACGTAATGTGTGCCGTTACATTGAAAATGAATACATGAAATAATTTTTGTTGAGCAAAAATTTGTATTTCTGGTAAACTTAGAGAACAAAGTTAACTGTGATTTTAAGTAAAATTGAAATAATGGAAATAAAGAGATAGTGATGCTACGTTGAGCGTAGTAACAAGTTTGGAATATAGATTCAGTTGCTAGAGTTTTTCATAATATTTTCTAATACTAAATAATAATGGGTTTGGCGTGGTATTTATTACTGAAAACTTTTTTATTTTTTTGTACGGCTTTGGAAATTATGACCACGTTTGATGGTTACGAATGCATTTGAACAAGTATAATCGATTAGAAGTATGTATGTACCAAAAGGCATACGAATATAATCCAAGTAATGAAGCTGAATTTTCAAAGTTTAATTTTCGAAATCGAATTATCGATGCCAAAAACTTCGAACTTCAATAACAAAATTCCAACATTGAATTTTCAAATCTAAATTTTTAAATTCGACATTTCTAAACAAAAATTTCGATGTCGAATTTTCGAAGTTGAGTTAAACTATTGACGAATTTCGAAAATTAAATTTCGATATTGAATTTTCTAAACTAAATTTTCAAACTTTCAAATTCTTAATTAAAATTTCAACATCCATTTTAGTTTTTTTTTTTGGTTACTTGGCATTCGAACAATGCTAATCAGTTATTCATAGTTACACTAAAATTAATTTAGCGATTTAAGTAATGAAACCGAATTTTCGAAGTTGATACCTCAAAATTGAATTTTCAAAAATGAAATTTCGAAATTGCATTTTTGAAATTAAAATTTCAAATTCGAGATTTCGAAATAAAAATTTCGACTTCGAATTTTTGCATTTACGATTCGGAGCCGAATTTTTGACAATGAAATTTCGAAACTAAATTCTCAAATTCGAGATTTTGAAATATAAATGTCGACGTCGAATTTTTAAAGTTGAGTTTTTCAAATTTTGCTTTTAAACTACTGCATATACGATTTTAATAATTTTCTACATTTCTGTGCACAGTTTTCAAGTGCTCTTTCCGATCGTTGTACTCCAAAATTCTCATAATTTGTTGGTGGTACACCTTAAAAGTTCATTGAACCAAAAAAATAAAACCCGAAAAAATTTTAGGTTCCATAAATATCATGTATGTATGTTGATATTTTTACCATATGTACCTTTACCCCCCCTAATGACTTTTTACATAATATCATTAAAACTCCAAGTATAATAGAGGCAAGATGGCGACGCACTACACGATAAACGAAGCCAACTGACATACGTAGTTTCATAGTAACTAGCATAGAACTCAGTAAAACGTACTCCGAAAAACACGCCAAAAATTAACGCTGAAAATCTTTATATCTATCAGCTTTGAAAATTTTATTGACCTTTGATCATACGATGTTCATTCATAGAGAACTACCTTTTTCTCTCTCTCTTTAATATTGATTGTAATGCTTTTCAATATAGTTTGGGTTAATAAGCTTGTTTCATAAAATTAACTGACTGATTAAGCTGATCACTTTTGAAAAAGCCTATTGACCTTTGATCGCAAGATTATCTCTATCTCGTGCTCTTAGATTGTTTCGAGAAATTACCATATAAAGCTGATTTTTCATAACACATTTCCTCAGCAGAAGCGCCAAATGCCCTGAAAATATGTACATATGTATGTGCAGTGGCCGAGCTTTTTTGTCGAGAAAGGTATTATTGACAAATTTTGTTCGTTGGTCACAGTTTTTTGCTATAATCTTATTGTTTATGACAGTAAACAATTGACGTATTCCAGAGATTACAGGCAGAATTTATAATTAAAAGAAGCTCTATGGCAAAAAAAAAAAATGGAAAATTTATTGAAGCCGTGCGTTTTGTAGGCATTTTCTAGACAACAAACTTGTACGCTAATTTCGCAATTAATTCTACTTATCTTTGGCAAATTTATAATTACTTTCTTATCAAACGGTATTAAGTTAATATCTGGTTTATATTGACACGATCGTACGACTTTATTGGCAACGCCAGCGCTTACAGTAAGTACGCAAAAACACTCAATTCATTACAATTTGAATTCAGAGGCTAATATATTTCTTTCTCACAGCTGATAATCGCTTTTATAGCGTCGCGCCGGTACACCATCTGTCTCCATACATAGGAACGCACAGACTTTTGGAGTTTCTCTTATATATATACATATGTAGGCATGTATGTATATCCAGCACCCGCTTCCTATATGGCAACACGAGTACTTTCGTGTAGTGCATACATGAAATTATATAATTTGCTTATTTGCTCAACCAAACTAGAGGGTAATTAGAGATTGTCTGAAGTCGATGGTGTTATTAGCACTTGTCGAACAAGACAGTAATAATACTCAAATTATAATATTTATGGGTAAGAACCTTCAAAAAGTGCTATATATAGTATTATTCTATAAATGCAACCCTATTTTCGGTGAGTATTTGTAAGACTTGGCAAGTTACTATGGTCTTCAACTTAAAAACGTCACTTATATTGGGGATTATACCTGCCTAAAGTACGATTTTCGTATTTGTATAATGATTATAACCATACAGGCCGTCCCATCTTGTATCTGGGTATGTAAAAATTATATAACATTAGAGAAAACCAATAACATTCACTGCACCAACGCTTATTTTTAGATCGGACGACTAAAAGATACAGCTGCAATTCAAACTGAACGCTCAAAATGAAGTTCTTGTATGGAAACTTAACCTGGGGTGGGTATTATAGTATCGGTGCCGCAGAAGAAAACATTTTTTCTTGATTTGATTTGATTTGAAGGAAGTGCTCTGTCAATATTTAACTCAAGCGTCCTTTAGTTTCTAAACAATCCGATGGTACGTGCTCTTCAACTGCTACTTTCGGGTCTTATATTAAATGTAAAACTGCTGGACTCAGAGAGTCTGTAATAATTCGTACTTATCTAACGTCTATCTATGAAAGTCCCAGGACTGATGATGATAAATGGCACTACTCGAAATAAATCCTCAAGTTTTTTTATGAGCCCTAACTTTCAAAAGGCGCTTGTTTAAAATTTCCGATCTTTAGATTATGATTTATATAATTTTGAGTGAAGCAACTTTTGTTATTATGAAAAAATGGATAAAAATAAATTGAGTTGATAAAATATTGCTTTTTGAAGGGAAAAATACAGTTGGAGCCAAGACTTGGCTAGATGACTTGTTTCCAGACACTGCCCAGGGGAAGTCAAATGAGTACCACAAACGTTGGACGCAGTGGACGTCAAAATGAGGTTGTTACCGACGAAAATATCAAAAAAGTTCTCAAAATAAGTTTGGATAATCGCAAAATGAAGTTCAAGACAGCAGGTACTCTAAAACATTATATCATTCACGAATATTTGGGTGTGATAAAGCTCTGTACAAAATGTGTGCCGCGACCTTACTTTTGAATAAAAGCTATGACGAGTTTATGATTCGGATCAGTGTTTGAAGATGTTCTTCCCGACTTTTTGCTTCGATATGTGACAATCGTTGAAACATAGCTCCATTATTTCATTATGAAGTCCAATCGACGGTCAATCGAGTGGACAGCTCACGATGAACCCGCTCCAAGCGTGGAAAAACGCAACAGTCTGCTGGTTATGGTCTCTGTATTTTGGGATGAATTAATTTTTATTGACAATCTTGCAACAGGACTCTTCCACAGCGAATATTACATAGCGCTATTGGACCGTTTGAAGGATAAAATCTCTGAAATACGGCCGCATTCGAAGAAAGTGCTATTTCACCAAGACATGACATGAATTCCGCTTCGAATTGCTCCGCATCCACGGTATTCCCTAGAACTGGCTCCCAGCGGATCGCCGAAACAAAAGTAAAGAGAAAATCGCACTACAAAAAGGATATCGAAAAGTTATAGCGACGCTCCTATTGTCAGTGTCAAAGGAAAAAAAGCTGTTTTACTATGTTAGGCCGTGGACCTTTCCACTTGATCTATTAATTATAACAAATAATGGCCCACATAGGTTTCACAGAAATATTCTCTGACTGAGCGGTTTAAAAACAACTTTTTCGTGCTGTCAGAAACGGTTGAAATACAAGATGATATCTTTCGAGTGGCACGAAGCCGTTACTAGAATTTTTTTTCTTATTTTACTTTGACAATTCGATTGGAATAGAGTAATTAATAACGGTTGTAAAAGGTTTTATATAAAAATTATAGTAGTGAATTTATTTACATAAAAATATTCACATATTTGAAAGTTTTGAAATTTTTGTCAATAAGCAGCGACTCTAAACTGTATACTATAAATAAAAAAAAGGATTAATTAGGATTTGAGTTTATAATTCTAATTGGTAAGTTAACGGCATAATTGTTTGAGAGTTTCTCAGTTCCAGTCTGGGTTAAAGTGTGATTTATATTTAAAATATATACAACTCATATGCTCTCAACAAATATTTTATGTACAAAAGTTGCTTGAGAATGTCACATATTCTTCCAAACGATATCCTCAATAAAGTCCAGATAAGCCGCTACCCTAGTATAAAGGCTGGGAGTGACGCTAGCGCAGCCATCACCGGCCGACACCACTCCAATCACATGCATCTTTCGATACGCTTCATCAATGATGAGGTTAAGCGGACCACCCGAGTCACCCCAACAGGCATCGCTGATGGAATTCGGATCGCTAGCGCAGATTTGTGTGGGTAAAATACCGCGACTTGGTAAGACGCCGCCGCGCACATAAGCCTTTCTGCAATTTTCTGCAGAAACAGCTTTGACGCTTGCCATTAGTAGTACATTGGATTGTCGACGTGCTGATATGGGTGGAATATGGAATAATTTGGATTTTTGGAATTTAAAGACATTAGAGTTTTCAATAATTACTTTTCAACTCCGTAACGCCCCAACCGGTTACGTTGAGCGTCACTGTGGGTGGCGGATCAGCCAGTTCTGTGTGCAGGCAAACTGGAAATACTAGAGAAGAGTATTCAACATCATTTTTCAGCTCTATTATGGCAATATCATCATACTTTTCCAAATTCCGGTAATTCATGTGTGGGTAA